CTGATCTGATCTGCCGAGCGACAGTACAGCACGCACTCACTGACAGAGTGACCTGACAGAGCTCATGTATGTCAGTCGAGTCGAGTGGCACATCCGAACCAGCGAGCGCATCGCACGTGCGCGTTAGAACCATTCCCAGCAATCCACACCAGAGTGCAGCCCAGCCCACCCTCTGTTACGTTGCGCGTGCAGCGTGCGGTGGTATGGTCAGCTGCCGCAGGAGTTCCATACAGTGGTAGGCTCCAACACTTCCATCCGGGAGTGGAGTCACGAGACTCTACCACTCAAACAGGGTGGGGTCTGAATATTTTGGAGCCGACCACAACACAACCAGAGCATCAGAGAAGGAAGAAGTGAAGAACAGAGTAACAGTTTCATGTCATGTCACCCACAGCACCCAGCGACCGGAGTGAGAGAAAGAGAGAGACTGAGAGAGACTGAGAGAGAGAGACCAACACAAGAACATACACACACGTGTGTGTTTGCAATGTGTGTGTGTGTGTGTGTGTGTGTGTGCTTGTTTTGTGTATGTGTGTGTGTGTGTTTTGTGTGTTTTGTGTGTGTGTGTGTCTATGTTTTTTTTTTGTCTGTATGTGTTCACGGCGGTGTAGTATTGTTCCTCTCTCACTCCCCATGTAACACCATGCTTGCAATTCATCAACTGCTCCTATCGCCCTCCTCACACACATGCCACACACACACACACACACACACACACACACATGCCACACACATCCATACGCGAAACAGCGTGTGTGCAAAGCTGCGCGAGTGCCGGGATGATCAGTACATTGCCGTGCCGGCCACGCCCACCAGCAATCGCATCTGCCTTCGTCTTGCAGAATGCACTGAGGACCAATATGAGCTCGTCGAGCCAACAGAAACTTCAAACCGGTGCGAGCGGCATGCCATGTGTTTGTGCATTGTCTCGGCCGTCGCTTCATCTTGCTGTTGCCTAGCTAGTCTTCAAACACATGTACACACGCGCGCGCACTCAGATACCCACGTACACATTCCCACACACGCATGTTCCCACTCACTCACCCGTGCCCCGCTCACTCGCCCACCCCTTCGGCTTTCACCCCTCCACCTCAACCTCAACCTCAACCTCAACCTCAACCTCAACCTCAACCTCAACCTCAACCTCAACGGTTGTGTTTCCGCAGGGTGTGTGCCCCGTGCACGCCGTGCCCGGTTGGTGTTGCTTTTGAAGAGCGCGCATGCACCAACGTGTCCAACACGGTGTGCAGCGTGTGCCGCACATGTGGTGAGGGCACGTTCGAGTCCTCCCCCTGCAACACGACTAATCGCGTGTGCGACCCTATCTCCGAGTGCACAGCCACCCAGTATGAGTTTGACCCGCCCACGGCAACCACAGACCGTGTCTGCCGCAACCTCACGCAGTGCCTTCCGTTTATTGAGTACGAATCACAACCACCAACACCGACGTCGAACCGTGAGTGCGCCCTCACCTCCTGTGACCCCGGCACCTTCGAAGTTGTTCCACCAACCATCACCAGCGCAAGGTGCGTGTGTGTGTGTGTGTGTGTGTGTGCTCTGTACTCGTGTGCTCGTATACTTGTGTGTCTATCTAGTAGCGTGTAGTTGTTCGTTTGTCTGCGTATTTCTGCCTCTTCCCCTGCTCTCTTTGCCCCTCCCTCCCCCCCCCCCTTGCACCATGTTCCTTCAAGTCGCTCGCTCACTCACTCATTGGCACGCCACCACCCCTCCTCATTCAACTCCCTGTCCACATGCAATGTATTCCACAACAGAGAGTGCGATCCCGTGAAGCAATGCCGTCTCCCTTGTGATGGTGGACAATTCCCCGACGGAGACACGTGCACGTGCGGTCTTGCGTGCACCACATGCAACGTCTTTGGTGACGGCAACGCACAATGTGTCGAGTGCGCTGTAAGTCACACGAGCCACGCTCTCTCACATGTTGTTCTATTTATTCGTGCTAGCCCCTGTCACTCACTCACTCACGCACTCACCCACTCACTCACTCACCCACTCACTCACTTACTCACTCACTCCTTCACTTACACACTCACTTACTCACTCACTCCTTCACTTACACACTCACTTACTCACTCACTCACTCACTCACTCACTCACTCACTCACTCACTCACTCACACACACACACACACTCACACACACGCGCACACCAGGAGAACCTGTACGTGTTTGAGGGTGGGTGTGTGAGCAACTGCACGCAGTTTGCTGGCTACCGTCCCGCTGTCACCACGAGTGGTGTGGCCTTCTGCCAGTCCGCCACCAACGACGTCACGCCCCCAACCCTTGTCTCCGAGTACGAGAGCGAGGCACCCACACCCACAACCGACCGCCAGTGCACACCCCACACCTTCTGCTTCCTGGGCCAATACGAGTCCGCGCCTGCGACGTTCACGTCCAACAGGGAGTGCGACCCCATCACCCAGTGCAGCGATGACCAGTTTGAGCTCGCCCCCTTCACGGCAACCACGGACCGGCGCTGTCAGAACTACACCACGTGTGAGCTGGGCAGCACATTCCAGACAGTGGGCCCAACACCCACCACAGATCGCAAGTGCGACGCATGCACGGTGTGCCCTTCCACCCACCGCCAAATTGCAGAGTGCACGCTGCTCCTCAACGCCGAGTGCGAGGAGTGCTCCTCCTGCCCCTCAGGAACCTACATGGACCAGGCTTGCACCGATGACCACGACACCATCTGTGCGCCCTGCGACACGTGCGCCACCGGCAAATACGAGGCGGCCGCTTGCGATCCGCTCCACAACACGCAGTGCGAGCCCTGCGATGTGTGCTCGCCCTCCCAGTACCAGCTGCGCGCGTGCCGGGCCACCCTCAACACCGTGTGCGAGCCCCTTCGCAACTGCACCCTTGGCCAGCAGTACGAGAGCACCGCGCCCACGCCCACCTCCGACAGGCAGTGCAGCGACGTCACCCAGTGCGTGCACGAGTGCACGGGTCAGGAGTGCATGTGCCCCGAGCACTGCGGCACCTGCATTGTCAACAGCGGTGACTTCAACACGTGTGTCGAGTGCAAGGACTCGTTCTACCTCTACTTTGGCCTCTGCTTCCGCTCGTGCTCCTTCTTCCCGGACACAGAGCCTGTGGGCCAAGACATGGTTGGTCGATACTGCTCCCCCACAGACCCAGACGCGCCCACCACACAGCTGCCTGCACTCGAGTACCAAAGCACACCGCCCACAGCCACCAGCAACGCAGAGTGCTCGCTCGTCACGGACTGCGTCGGAGACGAAATTGAGCGCATGCCGCCAACGCTGACGTCCAACCGCGTGTGCGTCAACGCCACAACGACGACAAGCACGACTACAACGACGACCTCTTCCTCTTCCACGACCACAACAACGAGTTCCACAACGACCACAACCACGAGCACCACGACGTCCACCACTGGCACCGGCACCACCACAACATCCGCAACATCCACGATGACAACGACGACGAGTGAGCAGCGCCCGCCATTTGTTGCATATGAGGTGCTTGCAGAGGGCGAACAACGGGTCTCCAACGCGTTTGATTCGGAGGACTTGCTGGATAAGTTCACGGACATCCCATTGCAAGAGTGCAAGACGCAGTGTACGCTGAGGGAAGCCTGTGCTGGCTTGTATCACCTCACCAACAGGCAAGGACGCGTGGTATGCCGTCTCCTCACACGCACAGTTGACGACTTTGTTGGTAGCGCCGGTGTCATTGGTGTCAGCTTGAGGAAGGTGTACACCTTCACCACAACCACCACCCCGTTCTCAACTTCTTCGACGTCTTCCACCACCACAACAAGCACGACCACCACAACAAGCACGACCACCACAACAAGCACGACCACCACGCCTGAAACAACGTCGTCCACACTAGCGTCCAATTCCACGCTGTCCACAACAGCCACATCATCTTCGTCGACCACAGCAACAACAACGACGACGACGACGATGACGATGACGACGACGACGACGACGACGACGACTGGTGCATCCAACATCACCTCAACCACAAGCACAAGCACAACAGAATCGCAATCGCCCTCCACCACTGAAATTTCCACGAGCACCACAACCCCTCTCACAAACCAGACCACCGCAAGCTCTGTATCATCCACCTCCTCCACCACTACGTCCACAACTTCTACCACTACAACCACCACCACTACAACCACCACCACCACAACTACAACCACCACCACCACAACTACTTCGACATCATCCAACATCACGGCCACATCAACCATGAGTTCCATTTCGTCAACCACAAGCACAACGACGTTAGCAACAACAACCGCCACAGGCAGTGGGGCTACCTCAACTTCATCGACAACTTCATCGACAACGACAACAACGACGACGACGACGACCACCACCACCACCACCATATCGACTTCTACATCAGCAACAACGACAACTAGCACCCCAACTGGTGTCAATACCACGTCCACTTCCACTTCCACTTCCACTTCCACGCCCTCCACGTCCGCAACCACAGCCCCTGTGAATGAGACGACCGTGACAACAACCACCACGGGTAGCACATCGATGCCAACCACTTCGTCGGGAGTATCTGTCAACACAACATCGACATCCACGACGAGTACTTCCACCACAGCCGCTTCCACTACAACAACAATAACATCCTCCTCCACCTCCACCTCCACCACAACAACCACAAGCTCGCAGGGTGCAAACGCAACTGTGTCGTCGTCCTCACCCTCATCATCGTCCACATCATCATCGACCACCTCCACCTCCACGTCAACAACGAGCGTGGTGGCCAATGCAACGAGCACAGCATCGTCCCCGAGCTCATCAACGACGACAACAACAACATCGACATCATCAACCACCGGCAACAATGCCACCACCAGCACTTCAACTGCTTCCAATGCGACCACTTCCACAGCCTCCATAACAAGCACCACCACCACCACCACCACCACCACCACCACCACTACTACCACTACTACTACTACTACTACTACTACTACTACTACTACTACTACTACTACTACTACTACTACTACTACTACTACTACTACTACTACTACTACTACTACTACTACTACTACTACTACTACTACTACTACTACTACTACTACTGCGCCCGCCACGACCACGACGACCGTGTCCACTTCGAGCTCATTTGTTGTCGAAAACTCGACCATTGTCACCTTCAGCTTCACAGACCTAAACTTCACCGACGTATGGTGTCATCCCCACACCCCTTGCTCAATTACACATGCCATGTCGTCCACGTCTCTGCTGCACAAAACATCAACACAATTGCGTGCCATGCATTCGCGCTTCCTGACTTCCCAAACACACACACTATCTCTCTCCCTCGTTCACATTCACGTACAAACGCGCATATATGCAGGTTCTTCCGTCTGAGAAGTCAAAGGCGGCGTTTATTGAGGAGCTGACAGCAGCACTCCGCATCCTGCTTGGCCCAGATGTGGACTTTGTTGTTTATGACGTGCGTCCCGGATCAATTATTGTCGACCTTCTCATGCGCAGCACAAACGACATCTTCCAACTCCAGTACGTGTTTGCACGCAGAGTGTGTATGTGTGTGTGTGTGTGCTTTCTTTGGCCTGTTTCAGCCTTGAAGCGTGCATGCGTGCGTGTGTGTATGAAGTCACGCGCCCACACGTGTGCCCACACGGTTCATACAACAACAACAATCGCCGCCAATCGCCGCCATCCTCATTCCTCTCACGCATGTGCTGACCATGTTGCCCTCTGTTCAACACACGAACAGGTCTCTGGTGCAGAACAATCAGCTCATCTTCGTCTTCAACGACACGCTGTTTGCCGCAGACCCGGATCAGTTCACGCCGATTGTCGTCACAAGCACCACGTCTTCAACCACGTCGACAACCACCGTGCCCACGTGCACTTCGCTGGAGTACCTTGATAACGGTGTCTGCATTCCCCTTCGCACGTGCACGCCCGGCAGCGAGTACGAAATTGTGGCTCCAACACCAACATCAGACCGAAAGTGCACGAGCGTGTCGCCCACTTGCGATGGCGTCTTCACCTACGAGTCTGCACCACCAACAGCGACCACAGACAGGGTGTGCTCAGACGTCACGCCATGCGAATTTTACGACGACCAAGCGAGCGTGGTCATTGAGTTCCCAGGCGTGAGCTACGATGCAGTCGTGGGTAACCCGCTCAACACCACGCGTGCTGAAGAGGCGCAGCTTAGCATCATGGTTGCGCTGATGCAGCAAGGCGTTGACCTAGCGGATGTGATTGATGTGCATCTGGCCAACGGGTCCATCATCGCCACCATCGTTGGCACACGGCCCACTGGCCTGGCTATCAAGGACCTTTTCGCCACCTTGCCTGATGGACTGCTTGTTGTTTTTGACATCGGTGGCGGGCAGTCGCAGTTTGCACGCGGTGTCCTAATCGAAGCGCCAGAAACGACCACCACCACTACCACCACTACCACTACAACGACGACGACGACGACGACCACCACCACCACCACCACCACCACTGCCACCACGACGACTGCTACCACTGCTACCACAACGACGACTGATGGTGCGACCACAACGCAAACTACTTCCGCAACACCAAGGGACACATCGAGCGCCACGACGACGACGGGATCAGTCACGGTGACCTTGTCCCCAGAGACAACAACATCCACCACCACTACCACTACCACCACAACGACAAGTGGGTCGGTCACGCGCACAACGTCGGGAACACCCATCACCTCACCTGGGACCACATCGACGACCACTACCACCACAACTACTACCTCGCCTTCGGTGGACACAACTTCAACGACCACCACCCCTGACGTGGATTCAACCGCCTCCTCGTCTCAGGCTCCAACCTCGCCCACGATCCCCACGCCAGTGACAACGACGTCCACGACTACAACAACAACAACGACAACAACAACAACTACCACGACCACCACGACCGCTACCAGCACAACGACGCCGCCACTTTCTGTTTCCTCAACAACCACAACGACCACCTCTCGCACAGGCGACTCAACCACAAGCACAACGACGCTGTTCAAGCACAACGACGACGACGACGACGCCAAACCGCGAGTGCGCGACATTGCAGACCAGGCGGAGTGCAGCCAACAACATCAACGCCTTCGCCAAACCGCGGGTGCGGGGGACATTGCAGACGAGGCGGAATGCATCAACGCTGGCTGGTGGACGTTTGACTTCCAGTGCAGCGGTTCCGGACACCGAATGTGCACGGAGGTGCCACTTGAGGGAGGAGTACAACGGTTTGGACCTGGTGCGGGTGGTTTTGTCGAATGCAAACTGGGGCTACTTCTGTTGAGGAAGGGCTTGACTGGCCCGGAGCCTGTTTTGACCCGACATCTGGCGGGGGGCGGCTGCTGGGGTGGGCCGTTCCAACCCTGAAGCATTGGCCGGCGTGGTTAGAATGTGTGCATGATGGGGCTGGAGTGCTCTTCCCATCTTCCCGTCTCGAAGATTGCAGGACAGAAACCCTG